AACTCGATACAGTCCCCAAGGGTAAAAAAGACACGTTTAAAGGATGGTCTCGGTTATATTTAGCTGAGCAGCAGCACRGGCTGACACGAGCAGAAACACAGGGAAGAACGAAGTGAAAACGCTCGACAGTTGGTAACACAAACCTGCGAGTATCTGAGGTGGATTTAAAAAAAAAAAAAAATTTCCTTCCCCTAATTCACATTTTACCGCGCAGAGAAAACATCAAAGCAGTACATGGGTTTATGTGAACAAAAGGTAAAGATAAAATGTTTCACCTGACGCTGACTGGAATTACTGTTGCCTTTGTGTAATGGAAAAGGCTTCCTACTCTAAGAAATTCTTTAATTTTCTTTTCTAAATCTTAACCTCATTCTTTTCCCATACAAACTGAAGCCTGCTCAACCCTGTCGTTCTACCAGAAGAGATTAAAAATTTTCAGCTCATCTCTGCAGTAGTAAAGGTATATGGAATTACTTAACCGCGACAAAAGCCATCTCACAGATGCTTCAATAAAGACAAAACAGCTACATTTAACCTCGTTTTTCCTGATTTTTCATCTGTCCTCAGCACAGGCATCTCCAAACCCACTCAAAATCCCAAATCCCAGCTAAGTGATTTATCACTTCTGGCAGCAAACGAAGTGGGAAGGAGGAGATTAAGACAATGGTAGAGAAAGGTCTGCATTATGTAATGAAACTAAAACTCTATTTTTTTCTACTTTCACTTCAGTTGTTGAAACAGGGTAGGAAAGTCCCTGGCTAAATAAAATACACTGGAGGTTTCAGGAAGCCTGTTTTTCCCATGATTAAAATTCTCTTGGCAGTATTTTTCATCAGTTTATTTCAATATTAAGACACACATGTATTCCATTCCAATGGTAATTCCTTGCTCCAGAAAGAATTTCAACACAGAGAACTCTAAAATTAAAACCAATCTCTAATTACCTTATGCCTTGCCCACTTGTCATGAGAACTCTGAATACAGCTATCAGAATTATTTTTAAAATACCCATTTTCAATCTTTCAAGTACCTATATGTTCATCTTCTTCCCGTTGCTTGATATCATTAAGACTGGAATGACTGTGCTCACCTAGATCTTCGTGAAAATAAAACCAGTCTTGTACCTAAGCTGAAAATGCTCTTTTAATTTCACAACATCTATTTCATATTTTCACAAGCTATAGGGAAATATTCATCTAACTAATTATTCATCCAACTCATAAATTAAAGGTGACTGCATACAATAGGAAATTACTCATTGAACTAGTAAATCCTCCAGCATTTTCCACATCAGACAACTGAATAAAGACTCTTAAAAAGTAAAGGCCAAGGGAAATCTCAGGTCGCTTATCTGTAAATTGAACACACACCGTGTGCAYGCTTTCACAGCCTGGACATCACCTACAGGAAATCAAACACTTCTGCCTGGGTTTTTGTAAATTAATTTAAACTCCATCCCAGCAAAGATTTTAGGAGCGAAATGCCCCACTCTCAGCGCTGGGTGGTTCAGCACACTGCTGCAATGAAGCTTTAAAAATAATCACTAACACATGGAGCAGCAAGAGACATGTCARGCTATTTGACATTACAAAACTGAATCAAAAAGCACAGAAATTATTTTTAGCACATTAGAGCACCTCGACAAGCAGCCTAGGAAAGAGCTTTTCCTGAAAAAAAATCCAAACCAACAACAACCAAAAAAAGAAAAAATAAGAAAAAAAAAGGAGGGGGGGATTTTTCCAGGAGGTTGGGCAGGGCACAKACAAAATCTGGTTTGCTTCCTATGGGAGTACCCAGCTTCCATCCATATCCAGCTTTTTCCATGACACAGTACAGAAAATATGTTCGCTAATGTACCATTTGTGGTGTGTGTCTGAATCACCAAAACGGAGAAATTGAGGCTTCTGGTGGTAATTATCATTTTCAAGGGCTTTTCTATTCTTTCAAGGTGATAAAAAAATTCCTTTTCCACAATATGGGCAGGAAATGAGCAATCTTCTTTTGAAGAAGACTTCAAAACACAAATTCCTCCTCAAATCCATGCAGGAACCATCTACATCCACCAGCTTCCTCAACTCAGCCCAGCAGACAACTTCTGAGAGGCCACAAAACACCCCAAATGAAGCCATGCTTCAGAGAATATTGGTTATTTTTTTACGCGTTCTTTTTGGTTTTAGTTTCTAAATTACTCGTTTACAGCTCCATTACCTGCAAAGGCCTCCAAACAGATATTTAAAGCAAGGTTTAATTGAGATCCAATACAACAAATTCTGAATCTTTACAAAATAAAGGGTTTTTTTGGTTGTTTTTAATTTTTGTTCCATCTGCAGATCACCTTCATGTTACTGTCCAAAAAAAAATCAATTCCATTTAATCAGTGTTATTTACTTCACACAGCTCTTGGAAAAAATCAAACAAGGAAACCCAAACTTCTCCTTCACCACCTTTCTGCTGCTTTATCACAGCTCCTGAAGGACARTACCAGCCACAAAAATTCCCACAAGTGTTGAACACCCACCACGTGTTCCCAGCACTCCCCAGGGCAGGGAACACAACTTTGCCAGTTAAGAACAACAGGGCGAGACTTGAGTGACCAAGTTCTTACAATTTAGAAGAACTCAGTGCCATTAAAAAGATCTTAAAAACGCCATGGCATCACAAAATCGGCTATTTTCACTTATTAAAAACCCGTAAGAGAATCTCCACCTTGCTAAAATCCTTGAGACTACCACGGAAATTGGAGGAAATAATTATTCTCCAGACAAATGAAACTGGATATATTATACAGCCAAGTGGGAGCACCGAACCAGGGAAAAGGGGGTGAGGCAGCTTTTGCTCACCACAGGGTATGAGTGGCTTATTATTTACATGACTAAATTCAAAGTGTGTTAAAAATTAAACACTTGTGCTTCGAAAGACTTCAAGGCCAGGTGGGGTTTTGCTTCTCAAAGTAAAGACAGGGTTAAATGTTTATTAATATCTAACAGATTGCTGAGGAACATGTAAAACTCCTTTCTGATCCTTCAAAATTAAATATACAATCCACTAGATTCCATTACTTGCTCAACTGAGTTTGATTTTATTGTATTAATAAGAAAAAAATGTTTTATTTCCTCCCACAGTATGGTCTAYTTTTCCATTACTACAACTAGATATTGCCAAGAAAATGAAATCCTCAAGCATAGCAGATGCTGCTTTTCTTCTCATTAAATCTTAAAACTTAGTTTCAGTGGGATCGTATTTAGTCATCTCAAACTGAGAACAGGATTTCATCCTGCCCTGACATCCCAACAATGACATTTTATAAATATTACGAGTTTCTTGGATGCCCTTCTCATTCCGCAAGGAGGAAAAAAGCACCAAGCAGAGATTTTGTCTTCTTACCCTGCTCAAGATTTTTTTATTAAACCTTAAATGTAACCAATCCATCTTCTGCAGGATTTTTTTGAGACCTCTGGAAGACCTCTGATTTTTCTGAGTTGTAGTAAGTGTGAAAAATCTTTGACAAAGGGTTGTCTTTATTCAAGCATTAAGCTCTCATTGAGAGAGGYGTTGGAAACAAGTGCTTAAAGCAGCCTAAAAGTTGTCTTAAATCTTCACCTACTCTCCAGCCAAGACAGGACCTGGATTTCTAAATTCAGGAAGAGAAAACAATAATTAAAAGAAGTAAATAAATCCTTGCATGATTCTTTACAAATGATGGGATGGAGCAATCAGAAGAGGAGAAACTGATTTCCTCATCTTCCCTTCTGTACACTCTCTATGGGCATCAGCCCATCTCAYCCTTCCAGAAGGTTACACATTCAAGGTAAGGGTTTGTGAGAATAATTCCCTTGATCAGACAGTTCTGCCAGTGACAAAATTCCATGTACAATGATAATCACAGAATCCTAGAACAGGCTGGTTTGAAAGGACCTTTAAGTTCATCTCATTCCACACCTCCYACTATCCAGGTTGCTCCAAGCCCCATCCAACCTGGCCTTGGACCCTTCCAGGGATCCAGGAGCAGCCACAGCTTCTCTGGGCACCCTGTACCAGGGCCTCACCATCCAYAGAGGGAGSAATTTCTTCCCAGTATCCCATCTAACCCTGCCCTCYGGCAATGGGAAGTCATTTCCCCTTGTCCTGGCACTCCAGGCCCTTTGAAACCAAACACTCTACTGATACACTTATTTATTTAATGAATAATTTCAGTTTTAGAAAACACCTGGTATGCAAAGGAAAAGCTGCCAACTCTGCAAACCCTCCTGAAAAGCAGAGCTCTTCACCAAAGAGCATAAAACATTCATGGGGGCAACCGTAGCTCCGTGGTTTCCACTCATAGGGTGAATTTACTCTTAAAAGACTAAATAACCAAGAGACACTTCAACCTGAATTWAAAAATTCTTAAAAGAAATCAGTGATTATCTCTAACACCTTCTTTTCTCCCCTGTAAGTATTTTGTAAAGCCACACAAACACAGACCTATTGCAGAACCAAGGGCTTGGGAAATGCATCCCTAGGAATAGCAAACTTGGATTATTTTCTTTAAATTCTTCCAAGTCTACAATTTTTGCTGTGAGGCAGCAGGGGTAAAAAGGGGAAGGCGACAAATCAACCTTGTGAATGTCAGTGGTGACAGGGAATAAGAGGAAACAGAACAATACTGCTCATAATTTCCCACAGAACATTGAAGTGTAGCCTGTAAAAAGTAGCTGACCTTAAAATCTGCTTTTTCTCTCACCGAAGCAAAGAAAAGTAACCCATTCTCCAGACACACAGGCAGCAAGGCCTTGTGTCCATACGTTGCTGCTTTGCCCAGCCACCATCTTATGGATGCTGCACAGATCCACCATGGAAAGAACGAACAATGGCAACTGCGATGCCCTCGGAACCCTTTGTGCCAACTGAGCCTCTTGACACTTCACTCTGCTTTACTTCTGCATCAACGACCAAAGCTTTGCCACGGAACGCTCACACCTCAGGAAATGACCCGCACAGCCCACGGCACAGGGACCTACCTGTCGCTGCTGGTACTGCTGCTGCTGCTGAGGGAGTCGCTGCTGGAAGATCTACTCCGGGAGCCGCTGCCGCTGGGCGAGCGAGTGGGCCGGGCGGCCTGGCTGGCCAGGCGCTGCGGGGACTGCGTCCTGGACTGCGATGAGTGCGGCGACCGGCTCCGGCTGTGCTGGTAGTTCCGCTCCGGCCTTCTGCCTCGTACCTCCCGTGTAATGTCATCCCTGTAGATATCCCTGTGTACCACACTGGGCAATGTAAACTGCTCCCGGGCCCTAGGTTCGTATCGGGGGTCGTGAGCATCAAAACGATTTGGACTTCGGCTCCGAGAAGTGTAATAGAGCCCGTGTTGTAAGGTCCGCTCCCGAGGGTCTCTATAGTAATCCTGATCGTAATGTCTCGTCCGATCAAATCCGCCCGTCCCCCGCTCATGGTGTCCATAGGCACTATGTTCATAAGCACGCTCCCTGTTATCTGAAGCCCTGCATTTGGGAAGGGGGAAAAATTTTGCATCAGAAAGAGGCAGGCACAACTAAAAGCAAATCATGCAAACATTCACAGCAGCACTTGACTTATTGTTGCCACTGCTTCTCCACTAACCAGCAACAACCTATCAAGCAAACACTGATAAACTTCAAAACATTTTACTTGGCTCCGAAGTTAGATTTGTATACGATCAAGCTGAGCAATCATTTTGGTTTAATCACAATATGGGGCTTTCATGACCAGCAACTTTCCTGCACAGGGGAAAAAGTCTGCTTTCCAGTGCAGAATCCTCATTTCAGTTGCGTTTGGGTTATTTTTCTTTGAAATTCACTGAAAAAGAAAAACTTCATGTTTGTGGACATCATCATTAACTTCTTTTTCTCTCCATTTTTGCTTAAGAGCTTCACATTTTTTTTCAAAATTTGGTAGTTACTGGAGCCCTTGTAATTATTCTTCCGCAAAAATGGCATCACAAATTGGGCTGTAGCCATGAAAGCCTCCATGTAAAGCATGACCCAGAGGCAAGAAGCTGCTTTCAAAAGGGGTGGCATAACCCATAGAGAATTCCCAGAAAATCAGRGGGTTTCTTGTTGCTGTTCTAAAATATTTCACCTTCTTAGAGGGAATTTTTACTTTGACCAGATTGCTACACTCATTTCTTATAAAAGCTGTGGACACTAAAGAATCATCTTCATTACTGATGCTGGAACTGCAAGGATGCCAGAACATACTAAGATCCTACACAAGAACTGGGAATCCAGTTTTTAGGAGGCATTTTTGTTGTGACTGCTGCTGTTGCTGCAATCACAGAATTTCTATCTGCATGAGCTGCTGCTTTCCAGCAGCTATGGTCCAGTTTGTTTCAATATTTCGAACATTTTAAATTGAGAAAGACTCAGTGATATGCTGAGACAGTTAGTGTGATCTCTCAAATAAAGAATAAAACTGACAGATAAGGAATACTACAAATAACTGAATATTCTAATTTAAACAAGTACCAGGATGGTACATCTTAGTTACATCCATAAAATGGAAGATCCAGAATGGTTACGTTGAACATTTAAAAAACMCTTCTTAAATTCTAAATATGGCAGGGTAGCCAAAGTTAATTTAAAAATTAATTATCCATCTTATGAAGGACATTTCAACCTTTTTTTCCCAGCCTTCTCTCTYGGATTCTTCCTTCAGAATCTGTTATGAGTCACTTCAATCCCCTGAATCCTGATAATCCAATTCTGCCTTGTGTCTCCTCCTCCTCTCCTGTATCACAGCTCTAGTTCGAATGGCAGAAATATTTCAGGGATCTTTTATAAACTGAAAATGGGATTTGAATCTTTTTTTTGATTAGCATCCCAGGAAGTTCCATCCATTCTTTCTCCAATGAATCACTAGATCCTTAATCCTCTCAATATATTCACTGTCTGTGGTTAAATTTTAACTCCTATCAAACTTTCTACAGAGCTCACTCACATCTTGCCTGCATTTTTTCTCTCAAATTATATAAAATAAACTACTTAAGCAGTGCAAGAGAATGTGATTAATTTCTACAACTGCTTGAAATTCATTATTGCCTTTTAATTTCCATTACCTCTTGCTCACAAYAATGGAATTTTGAAAGATATTTCAGGATCTGCCAATGTTTTGGTTCATTTTTCCCCCTTTTGAAGGACCAAGATCAACAATTTTATAAACAATTGCATTTATCATCCTACAAAGTGTTAATCAGTGAGAGCTGATTTAATGAGGTCAGAGAAAAAGCAGTATTTTCTAGCAGGTTATTGCTACAGAGCTGACAGAAAGAACAAATCCTTATCCGTGAAAAGGACACAGAAGACAGACAGAGGAAGCAGAGCTGAACAGCTACTGGCTACAGTGCTTTCTTCATTTATCTATTAGTACTAAGCTACTGGAGTTAGTGGAAAGAGAGGGTTTGACTTGGGTTAGGAGAGGGGCTAATATACACAGGGCAGGACATACCAACCTTTTCCAAGTGTGGAAACACGACCTATATTCCCAATTAAATCTAGGGAGAGAATTGTGAACATAACTTCCCCAATTTTGGCCCCTCTTACAGGGGTAATCCACCTTCTTAATGGGCAAGGGTGTCAAATGATATTTTAGATGCACCAACAAGAAAAAAAAAATCTTAGTGACAAGACACAAAAAAAATTCCACTGGACGGAAGTAGTCCCAGACTGAAACCGTAACTCTGAAACCCCCAGACTTCTTTCTTGAGACAGAAGGCACTTAAATAGATCCATAATTTTAATTTCCAGCCCTAAGTCTGAATCAAGCAGCTGGTAGAAGATCCCCCCGAGGCCCGAGGGCCCTCACGCTGCTGCCAGTAGGCATCCTCTGGCCGCCTTGGTAACCATCCAGCCCAGTCACTTCTCACTGGTGTATCCACAAACGGGTATTAGCACCACGTCCTTAAAGCTAAAGTATGTTTAATGTGGAGCAGCAGAGAGCTTTTTAAAAGACTAGATAGTAATCCATTCCCCATGGCTACTGGCGTCTTGGCTGTATACCATCCAATAAATTCAAGGCAGTAGTTCTTATCCCAGCTTTAAAAAAAAATAAACTATAATTTCCAAAATTTAGTAATGTCCGTCATCTCTTTTTGCCAATACCATCAGAAAGAATAATCCCAATAACTTGGAAATGATGTAGATCCAAAATGGAACCATCACAAGCTGCCTTCGGTCTTCTCCATCCAAGCGTTATTTCCATGGCTAAGTGCTGTCGGTAGAATCCAAGGGGCCGCATCAATAAAGTCTACTATGAATTTGGTGGTGTCAATTCAATTAACATACCCACTGCGTATAGTGAGAACTGAGAGCTAGGCATCAAGCTTTCACCGAATTCTAGGTTCTAGTATTCCGAAGATACTCCACAGAGAACTTCACCACATGTTGTAGAGTAAGATAGCTCCATCTGGCAGCAGGGATACATCCAGCAAGGCCTTAATATTATCCAAGAAATGGGATCGTTACTTCTAGAAAAGAGTAACTCCAATATCGATGCTGGCCAAAGGAAATCTTCCATCTTAAAACCACCTTATTTCAAGTGTAGGTAGATATCCAACCAGCTGCAGGACACATCCTCTTATGGATCCACAAGGCACCAACCACTGGGATAGAAATCACTTCCGTTTCCAACCCAAAATAGGAAACATAGATAATTCCCAAAATTTTAAATCCATCTGGGGGCCCTAGATACGAGTTTGTGTTTCTCACCATATCAAATACAAAATACCTGCCTAGAGAAACCTTGGAACTTACCCATCAAGTCTCCGCTCATAACGTCCTTCCCGTGCATGAAGCGATGGTGGGGGGCCATAAGTGGGCCCCCCACCACCTCCTCTGAACCCAGAAACCTCTCTACTACGAGATGCTATGGAAACTGTATCATCCAATCCCCGTGCAGCACTGGGAATGGTTCCTGGCTCATTATAATCCGTCCGTAGGTCTCTATCTCCCATTTTGTTGACAGAATTGTGTGCCTTCTGTGCACTTTTGATGTCCACAAAATCCACAAACGCTGCCACTCCGCCTTCTGACCCTCTCTTAGGGAGGATTTTGACACTTTCRACACGTCCATATCTGGAAGAGAAGCAAAGCAGAGCACACAGGTCAGTGCTGGTAGGAAAAGACCACGTTTAATAACATTGCCTCCTGCAAAATCAACATCCAACCCTTCACCCTTCCCATGTGCCAGGAAAATCAATCGCTGGGAGACACCAAGAAGGGAAAAGCCRTTTGGAGAGGGGGAAAGGCCATTTAAACTTTCCATGGTTACATTCAAACTCCTCTCTCACCCTGTGGGAAGCCTACCTTGAGATCACCCTTTTTATAGCAACAGAGCAGCAGCAGCTGAAGAAACAAAAAGGTGTTCGCAACCAGAGCACCCCACACATCGTTCGTCTGACACAATTAAAGAGGCACAATTAAAACAAAACTGTGTCACGAGGAAAAATACAGGCAGCCAASAATTTCGTTAGGAGACAAATGACCTTGACACAGCAATTCCACTACTCCGATCTGTATTTAACATGGARTGTCCACTATGATCCTCATTCCTGATCTCAAACCCGTTTACTTCCAATKCCTCGCAGGATGTTTGGTACAGATCCCCCACCAGAGTTGGGTGSTGCCAGGGCTCAGCTTCCCACTCCCACTACAGACCCAGCAACCCAACAGGAGAGCTGAGGAATGCCAGAGGGAATGCAACACCACCCTGTGTAATGTATGTTAAGTAACTGCAACACTGGCACTTATGGATGAGTAAATGTCTATGGAAAATAAAAATAAACCCAAACATGTTTGTGTACACAATGAAACAAGATGTAAAAACATATTTAAATTACTTGCATCCACTCACAGCAGAAAGGACAAGYTGGGAGGGATGAGCACAGTGATGCYTTAACAGCCAACAACTGCAGGGTTTGGGTGCTCAGTTCTCTCAGCCAAAAGATTCTGAGCAAACCAAGGAAAAGCATTGCACTGCAGTTGATAATCCAGGACAAGAAAAGGCAAAAAGTATATTTTTGAATGCCCCAACATAGAGGAAAGGGACACACAAATAAAAAACCTAATCAGGAAGCATTTGTAAACTCCATGACGAATTATTGCGAAAAGATTTCTATGCACAAAGGCAGCACAAGGTCAGACAGATGTAAACAGACCTTACACAGGCAAAACTGTTCTCAGCCTCACATGCAGGGAAAAAAGAATACAACTGCCTGGCTGAGGCACACACGCTGTCAGATCCCAGASCTGCCTCGGTTTCATGGTTGGCTTTTCCTATACCTTACAATTTCATCCTTGTTGTTGGATGACTAATCCTTAAATAYGATCTGAAAACCTGCCTCACTGACTGCTGCCTTCTCATTCCAGCCTGACCTACTACACTTATATATAACCTGGTTTGGATTTAGAGCCCTTTTTTCCCYGGTTTATACTCCACTGAACATGGATGTGTGCACAAACAAGAGCATCTTCCAAGAAAAAAATGCCCTGTTGGGCATAAAAAGACATGGTCACATACAAGACACGTTCCTGCCTCTCAGCTGTCCAGAGCTGAGCCTGTCACCTTTGTACCCCTGGGTACACAAAGGGACATTAATTCTTGGGAGTTTCCTAATCTGTAATGCATTGGGGTTTTTTTTATTGTTTCTTTGTATTTTTTTAATTAAAAGMTCCATATAATGGTAAATTGAACTGCAGGAAAGCTGCTTCTCAAAGACTGCTCTCTTTGGAAGCTGGATATGGCTATCTTGCCTTGCAAGCAAGATGTAGAAAGCCCAGAAAAGTACAGAACATGGTTAATAAAATCTGTGTGAGGAAAAAAAGTGGCCTAATTGGATGTGGCAGATGTAGAGAAAGCGGGAGAGGGAACAGGAAAGGAAGGAGAGRGAAGAAAAACAGGAAAGAGCCTATTTGAGAAAATGTTAATGCCATGAATGAATGTGACAAAAAATATGGAAAGTAATTAGGAATCCTAGTTAGGATCACCCTTTAACACACATTTCAGTGCCAGTTCTCTGCAAACAAAGATGGGCTCCAACCCTATATCTAAACCACGTAGTTCCCAAAATGAGCTTTCCTTGTGCTCACTCTTTACACGTTCAGTTTTTGGCAACATGAGCCCATATTTGCCTACAATCTTCAAAATTTAAGAATTAAGACACTATTGATAATTGTATCAATATCCATAAAATCCTAATCGTTCTATGACTGCAGCCACCTTGGCCCACCTCACATGAAGCACTGCCTGCCAGTGGCATCAGAGCTGGGCTCTGAACAACTGCCTCCTCACCACCTTGACCATTACTGCCTAATTCTGAAATCCTAACATGCACATGTTATTATGCATACGCAGTCAGACCTCAGTTATTCTTTTGCTGCAGAAGATCCAGAATGTGTTGAAATGTTCAAATATCTGCGCTCATGCTGCCCAGAAAGCAGAAAGAATATAAAACATCAGTGTAATATGGTCCCCATCTACCATAAAAATCGTGTAGCAAAGGTGTAACTYTTCCCAATATAAATTTTTATATTGGAAGAAGTGTACTTTGGTAATCAAGTTTTTTTTCCTAAATAAGAAATGGATGGGAGAGGCTACTACTGCAGCCATGATACTAAATCAGTCCACTCTGAGACGGCGCCTTTTAATCCCCCCGTTATCCACATACATAAATATTCGCTGTGCTTTGGTGTCCTGCCCCGTACCCCTGACAGGCCCCGAGGATAATCTGTGACAATCGCCTTTGCTGAAAGCGAGGGAGGCAGGCAGGAGGAGGAGAAAGGAAGCAGAAGGGGGGGGGTATGAAAGAAAACCGAGGAGCAAAGCCCTGAGTATTCCAGGGCAGCTGCAGGAAGAGGAAGGTTTGCATTTTCCGTGTGCTGCCACAGTGCTGTGATTGCAAACACCCTTCGGTCCCCAGCGCGGGGATCAATGTGCCGAGCGATCCGGCCCGGCCGCACCCATTGGCGTCTCTCCGAGCTGCTCCTGTCTTGGCAGATGCTGCCGGGAGGAGACCGGGAAGAGAGGAAGGACATCTGCAGTGCTGCATCACCACACGGCTTCACTGCAGCACGGCAGCGTTACCAGGAAAAAACCACGGCACTTTCTGAAGGGCCGGGGGAGGAGAGGCGCTGAGAGCACCGAGCTTCCTCACGCCGAAGCAAAGGCAAGATGGAGGCGAATGTGCTSCGTGGAGCGATCTTTGTCCGGGCASAGGGCTGGGAAGAGGGGACAAAAGGCCAGGGGAGGCACGGCCACGAACTTTGGTAGCGTCGGCAGAGCAGCTCCTCTCAACCTTCGCCTCGTATCGCTACACCTGTGCGTCAGCCCTTCCCAAGGTTGCGTTTTGCAATCGCTGCCAGACCAACAGAAACAAAGAGGCGCCTTCGCTCAGCTCCCATTCCGCAGACTCGAACGAAAACAAGGCTTTTTAGTGCCTCTTCCCGTCAACAACTCCTGCAGATTAATCATTAGCTCCACATCGTAATGAAGGCAGACGAGCCGTGTTTTCGGCGAGGTTTAGAGTTCAACCCGAAGCAGAGGAGACGAGGACGTGCGGGAGCTGTTATGTCACCGAGCCCCTCTACAGCACAGCACGACCAAAGGACACGGCTGTAAACAGACATCGAGCAGCCCTTGCAGAAAAAAAGTTGCCCAATAATCACCGCTCAAACAAAGCTGCGCTAATCCAGCTTTTCAGACAAAGAAAAGGAATTCATAATTTAAGCATTATTGGTTTATTCACTGTAGATCAAAGCACCTCTATATTCAAGCAGCTGAAATGTCTCTGGGATCTTGGCACAGCTGCTCAGCATGTTTCCCTCACTCTCCAGCCCTTCCTCCTCCCCTGTTCTGCCTCCCAGCCCGAGAGACAGAGCGGCCGGGTTGGGAAACGCAGCCTCCACCAATGCAGGGCTGGGCTGGTTCCTCCCCCAGGATCGACGTGTCGCCCAGGCACAGCCAAAGTCCTCCCGCACCCTGCAGCTTCCCTRCACCGGCAATCACCACCCTCGGCTTTCCAGCTTCAATAAACCAGTCCAGCTCGGCTGCTCACTCCAAACCTCTTTTCCTGCACAGTTCCTGCTGTTCCAAGCAAAAGCGTTCTAAACAAAGCATGGGCTACAAGAATGCCGGCCAATGATTGTGTAGTATGCAAACCTAACTGTTTAGCTGCAATATTCTGTAAACTTACTAGGATCTTTATATGATGATCTGCACATGATAAGAAAAAGTGGGTTKAAATGAGGAAGATTCGTTTCTTAATATAAAGTAAATCCCACTTTAAATCACAGTACCTCTCTATTGCTCTTGCTGAGCTCCCCAAAAGCTTGTGAAGACCTTTCATACCCAGTATCTTCATCACTGCAGTGYTCTGCAGATCAGCTACATCCTGGCTGAAGAAACTTCACAGAATTTTATTTAAAAGCTGGCACAATGCTACATTCCACATACTGCTAAATGTAAGAGACACTGCAGGACCCAAAATAACGCAGGAGCTTTTTCTGTGTGTGTGTTTCTGTACCGCCCATTACAAACATGATTTGACAAGATGCTCCAAAACAGCAGGACATCCCAGCATTTTGTATTCACTTCGAGTTCCCTTTGACTGCAGCCAGTTATCTTTAGCCATCTGAAAAGCTCAGCTGATTTTGCCATGCCACACTCTAACTCCTTCCTCCTCTGTGATTATATAACCCTAGCAAGCCCCAGCCTGCATTATTCGGTAAAAGGCTCGCAACAGCATGAAGCTTTCCTTGGCCAATCACATTCCTCTGGCTTTGTTGTTATTTCATAACAAAATAATGTGCCCTGAAATAATACTTCACCAGATGTCTGCGTCTCTTCTCTTTATTCCTGACACCAAATCAGTCCAAATACCCCACATTAGGGGTACTCCAGCTCAGCGTTCCCCCMGCACAAAGCAGGTCTGCTCCAGGTACAGGGAAACCCAGCATGTGCAGATACTAAACCTTCATAAAACAGGGTGCAATCACCTTCCACAGGGATTTTTAGCCAGCCTGATGGATGTCTGTTGAGTCCATGAACATCAGTTCTAGGGTCTTCTGCTATCACAGAT